TGATCTTGAAACATATAATCATTGTAAATATGGGTTTATTTATTACCACTCACATGAATGATCTTAAAACATATAAACATTGTAAATTAAACATTATTGGCAAGTCTTGCATGTGAAATGACATTAAATCTAACAACCTATCAAATCTAAGACTCCATCCAGTTGTAAATGTGGAGTCTACGTTCTTGCTTAAAGTGTGAAAACTGTGTGAATAATGCAGCAGGTAGTTAATAGCTGAAAGTTAAGTCCAACTTCTTGCTTTAAGTGTGAAAACTGTGTGAATAATGCAGCAGGTAGTTAATAGATGAAAGTTAAGTCCAACTTCTTGCTTTAAGTGTGAACATTGTGTGAACCATGCAGCTGGTAGTTAATAGATGAAAGTTAAGTCCAACTTCTTGCTTGAAGTGTAAAAACTGTGTGAATAATGCAGCAGGTAATTAATAGCTGAAAGTTAAGTCCAACTTCTTGCTTTAAGTGTGAACATTGTGTGAACCATGCAGTTGGACTTAACTTTCAGCTATTAACTACCAACTTCTTGCTTTAAGTGTGAACATTGTGTGAACCATGCAGCTGGTAGTTAATAGTTGAAAATATTACAGGTAGGAATTCAACAGCAACTTTTAACTCTTCTCTACCCGATAGCTTGATCTCTCAAACTTGGATAGGTATAACTTAGTAGTTTACGTGTGAGGCTGCATATCAAAAAGTCCAAGGTTTAAGACCACCAAATGGCACTAAACACACTCCACATTTTCAATTGTATGAGCATTTTATAATTGACAGTCAGGTCGTGTACTGCTCACTGGCTGCTTTTTCCTCTGGTCAGCAGTTGAAAATGAGGAACGGATACGCCTAAACCTTGGGGGTCTCTCTTGCCCATGCATCGCATCTGGTGCTTTTTAAGATTGAAAATACCAAATACGCAGCCAAATTTCACAGTTTGTTATCCTGTTTTGAAAGATATTTGTCTTGTTAAAGGTGGAAGTATCCGAAGCAGATTTTCAACAACTCTACATGGATCAACAAGCGAAACTGGAGGAGAAGAGGAGGCTGTGTGAAGCAAAGATGATTGAGAACTTCCCGCTAGATGGTGGTACGTCAGTCATTAACTATAGGTTAGGATTTAAATATAGTCTCAATTCTGCACCGTGCTCACTGCAGGAATAGAAACACGAATTTTGTGTTATAAGCAAAGAAATTTTCCGCTGAGCCGACGGAATGGAGTTAATAAAAGAAATTAACACGCAAAGAAAGGGGGCGAGTTAATAAATAAATAATGATATTCTATCCATCTCCTATGTATATTGGCCCAGGTTGGCCCATTGGTTCAGCTCTGGATCTCGAAGATAGCGAATAGGATTTGAATCCGTACGATACCATAATATATTCCACATAATTTAAGCTGTGGGCGATAAGGTGCTGCTGATTGGTCAGTTAGGGACGGCGTACAGTTAGCTCTAATAGCCTTACTGTAGATACAAAATACAAATAACTAAGTGTATAAAATTAAAACAGATTTTTCGTGAGATAAATAAAGAATTCTATATCGTTGTCATGCTTTGTTTAAATTTATAAACATATATGGAGAAAACTGGAGAGATGTTTTTTTATTGTAGTGTTGCGTCAGCGAGTCACATGACCACCGTGACGCAACGTTTCTAGAACTATCATGTACTTTGCGATGTTCAAGTTCTTATTAGTAAATAGGTACGCTGGTATATAAAAG